TTTATTACTTTAGAACTGGTAAAGAAAATATTAGAGTCATTGAAAATTTTCTGGTAACTCTTATGAGAACAACAAAATGAAACTTCATAATTTGATTTACTTTTTCATATATGTATATATCTTACCAACAAGATATCGCACAAAGTGGTCGCCCGCAAGTGAACCAATACGAAAGAGCGATGGGTCTTCATTACAACAATAATCTTGAAATGTATATTTGTCCGTTAACATGCTCAGGTCTGACTGTTTACCAGCACACACGCACAAAGCTCGGAAATGTTCCTGAAAAATAAAATTCTGTTCAAAATCAAATCTTCTACGGAAGAAACAATGACTTCCTTAACAGTACATCATTGATGACAAAGTTTCATTCTACATGCATGTTTTTTTTCTGTTTTTCATATATTAAGTGCCGTGTACAACAGATTTCGAAGTTGCCACATCAAAAAGTTTACCGTAAAAATTCCTTGAAGAGTTTTGATGCGAACTGTGCCTTTATTCAACGATTCAATGGTAGCGCAAGTAACTTTGGTATAATAATAATTTTCGCAATATCCCATCATTAATTTGAAAACTCTTGAATACTCTGGATACAGAGATGGACTAAGGCGTGATAACTGTATGACTAAAACATACTCTGATGACTCCAGTAACAAAGTTGTTTCATGGTGTCATTTCAATGTTTAAGGATGAAAATATATGTTCAAAGATATGGTCATCTTCAAAGATTAATTCAGATATGACTCTTCAAAAATAATCTTAAGAGACAATTATTTAATCAGATTCATTTACAGACTCACAAAAGCTCACAATATTTACAATATACCAAATTTTAATAATAGTTTTATTTCGAAAACTTACATCGTAGTTGCTTATCCGATCGACGAATTACATGAAGCACAGGAATGCATGAATTGAGACAATGTAATATTGTATCCGCAGCGCTAACCCCATCTCCAACTACAACAACTTTCCTTTTTGAAAAGTTGGCTGTAGTCAATGAAATAAGTAGTCGTTTTAAATCCCGAAGATTGTAAACAATACGATCTTCTTCCACCTCTCCTTTCACCTGAAAATGAAAGTTTCAAACTTTTATGATTGTTTCCTGCTTCAGTTACAAAGGATAACCCATCTTCGTAACATACAGTTTAGTCGCATTCGACTTCCTTTGGTATTAGCAAACATGATGATAGAAATCACTTTTTGGACTATTTCAATTCATTCTATAAACATAATTAACAATACGATCTTCTTCCACCTCTCCTTTCACTAAGTATTTCATTAAGTAAAACAAAACTTACGCCAAGTAATCGATCCTGATTTTTGCCACATGCTAATACAACTTTCTTACATCTCAACAACACCGGTTCACCACTTTTCGTGCCACGAACTTCCCAAAATCCCTCCATGCAGCTATTTGAACATTTCTAAAAATTAAGAGTCTAGCTGCTTTTTTCCGAATTACAAGTTAGTCATTTAGAATTATGTTATCAACTGGTTTGACCACTGACGATAGTTAATGTTACTGCTCCAACAGTTAATGTTGACGTACGACACAACACGTCGTCGGATTGAGTGGTTAAAATGTCGACAACATATCACATGAACCAATATCATCTCTATACTTTAAACCATCACCTCTATGTGCGTCACTTTCAAACCACAAATAATATTTGTATTTTTGTATACTCTTCTCGCGTAATCGGACAGATATTTTCGGTAAAGTGGTACTGGAAGCCGACTATCAAACTTATTTCCACCATACCAATCAGCAATAAGAAAAGCTGGAAGATCCAGGAAACTGCTCACACTGACCGATAACATCTGAAATGAAAATAGTTTTATTCAAACTAGAACTATTTTCTTTATATCTTCTTTTCCCAATCATTCAGTTGCGCTTAAAAGAAAATATTCACATCGTCATCATAATTATTCCAAGATCCTCCAATTGGTGTTTGGGCGACTATTAAGTGTGGAATAGCACGGCTACGATCGTATATCCAACAAAGTTTCGATGTGCCAAGAGTTCCAGTATCAGCATTAGGACGCACCAATGTGTCATACAACAATGAAAGCGGCCTTGCTCCATGATTCATCATGTTAATGTTATTATCAAGCCAAGAAAAATCCTAAAATAAACTATTATTTAGATATGCTGGTCAAACGAATTTTTTGCTCAGTCGTACACTAAATAATGTTAAAATTATAACTCAAATATTTATAAGTTTAGTTTAAGAGTATTCCATAAAATAACCTGATCGAGTAATGATTCCTCTTCATGTTCAATAAGTTTCTGGTGGATAAAATCATTAGGATGAGGGCCGTCATTTGGAGAGTAAAAAGGTAACCAGCCCGATAGGAAGGCTGACAATGATAACCCGGCTGGTCCGTTTCCTGAAGATTGTTAAATTACTCACTCGATATATTTGTTTAGAATACTTCATTCGAATACTTGTTTCACTTTAACCAAGTATTGGTTGCAGAACTTTTTTTAAAGCTTTTCCAAAGCCAACCTGTTTTGATTCACAAGAGATCCGCACCCACTATTCAATCTCTCGACTAAAGTCATTTTGTTAAAACTTCAACACAATCCTTCCTATGGTTCTTTCACCAAAATTCATAACAAATGAAAATTTTAAGTGGAAACACAAGATGCATCCAATCAAGCTTTTTAATAGAAAGTTATCTTGGATAGGCCTTTAAAATCTCCAAACTCATCAATTATTCTGTGGTTAATTATCTAGAACTAATACAAGGCCATCAAAAAGAAAAGGGAAAACCAATCATGAAAAATAAGTTGTAGAAAAAAAAATTACCAACGATGATCACTTCCGTATCTAATTTCGAAACCGGTGATGTCGATGGAGAATCATCGCACATCAGGAAACTCGTTTCACACTGGCAGGGTAAGGGTCCATTTCTCATTTATTTGCACTTTATTTCATTGAAGGTTCAATTACCTACAAAAAAGGTATATTCTGCTTAAGCAAATTTTTCCGCACCAGTTTTTGCAGTTTTACTTCAACGTGTGCATATGTTAACAACTTCTTTACACCGGAGGTTTTTTTCTAATACTTCCGATGGTAAATTTTTATTTCACTTTCTCACAATATATTCCAATAGTTTACAAAAATAAGGGACGATCAATATGATATAAATACTTTTTCCGGTTTCTTATTTGGTTATTGCAAGTGCTTTGAACATTAGGAATATTAGACACATCTCAAACCGCTTGACTCCTTAAATATAAAAGGTAATCTGAGCGCTCTGGACATTTTATATGGTATGGATGATTAAAGCATCTCAGAAACTTCACGCCTCCCATACTTTGAAAAGTCAGAATATTTCAAAGAATAGGGACACGTAAATTACTTTAGATTCAAACGGATTCATTAAGCTCTTCGGATTTAACGAGTTTTTCCATTCCATTTCATTTCTTAGGCACCATGAGCGCGTTAGATGCTTTTTATTAATTTTTTTAAACACTATTTAATGAAATTCAATATCGTAAAAAAAAAAGGGGAAGACGAATATACTGCCTACTTCTTCACTTCTTAATCTTTTCATGTCCGGTTTCCTGATACCGGTAGTAACCTGTGTTCATTTTGGGTTGCTATTAAGTTCAATCTTTTTCGTTTTGCGGTGGCAAAGGGCTTTTTTTGGAGATACGGAAAGAATTATTGAAAAACAAACAGCAAACAAAAATGACAGTCAGCGTTCCACAACCCCACCAATTCAATATGATGCTTCTGCTGATGGTTTCAACGCAAGGTCATGTGATTGATTTAGCCCTTCTATATTGTCAGTCCCTTCTGGAATTAAAATTATGAAACTCAAAAGTTGAAAACAAGCATAATAGTGAAGTGATAGAATTGATACTATAAGCCCGCAACTGTTATCTATTATCAATCGATTCATGTCAATAATTTCGCAACTCATAACACTTACCACTTGACAAATTCCAATTAGTTAAGGGCTTACTTCGTTTTCTCTTTACCAGTGCGAATCTGTTTATTTTTTCCATTATATATATACAAGGTGTTACATCTATCTATCCATCTGTTCCTGTTGGGCTATTGCTATGAATGCTGTTGATCGGGAAAGCCCCGTGTTTTCACCGTTACTATGCTTATTCTTGCAACGAATTAAACTAATACTAATGAGATTGAAATATCACAAAACTATATCTCCATAATATACGAGAAATCGGCGACACAATTATCTTATATTACACTAATGAGTTATTAATTACGTACTTGTTAAAAAATAAAAGAGAGAAACAACAGCAAGAGGAAATGAGTTGGATGATGATAACACAAATATAATCCTAAACGAATAAATGAGACATTTATTCCGTCGATCAGTAAATATGCTCACTCTGAATGCAAACAATTAATTCTGAATTTCTCGAGCACTTCGATATTTCATAACCGATTCAACTATAAGTAGCAGTACATAAACTAACTCCGACTAGTGTAACTGGATTTTTGGAATAATGGGTAAAAAAAGCTCTCTACTCTCCCTCTTTTTGCTTACCATAAGTGACACTTTTTTACTCTGCAAATATCTTATGTCTTTCGTCTTTCGCTTTAAAGTGGCTTCAGAGGTCAAAAATCATCATCTAATGTTCTTTGTTGATTAGATCATATCAAAAAACCTGCGTCACTGTTGAGTATGTTGATAACATAATATTAGTACTTAATACGGTCTAATCGAAATTGGAGAATCAAGAATAGCAAATAAAATAAAATTAAATATCACGTATCAGCAGCAATATTTTTTTCGTAGTACATAGCAGGTCATTATGCATTTTTGTTCGATTTTTCTTTTTTTGTGTATAAGAATATTATTGCTTGCAGTATAAATGTGATATAAATAATTTTTCAGTGGACAAACCTAATTTTTCAATGAAACAATTTCATTTATGAACTGCTAAATCAACACAGTGAACGATTCCATTCAGATCAAAATTCAATGAGCTGATGAGTTTACCAGTGCTGATGATAGGCTGTACGCTGATGCTATTGTGGTATTATTTGGAGCACCAGTGCACTATTTATACTCGTACGTCTACCACGATTCAACCGGCGAAGACACAACAATACGCTGCTGCTAGTTATTTGGGGTGTCAGTACGTTCCATCTCACCCACAACCACTTCTCTCGTATTACACCGACTGTGTAAGTAGATTACACCGACTGTATAAGAAAGATTCATTAGCATCTATCATTCGTCCATCTATCTATTTCCATCTACATGCTTATTCATAGATCCTATCTTTATTTTCGCACTGAAAAAATCACATTTTCCGGACGATTTAGTGGCAAAGGTTTCTGAAAGGAAGAGCTAATGATAAGTCGGTTACGTGACTTGTTTACTTTTAAATTTAGCAAGAAACTGATCTTATCTGTGAAAGAAAAGAGTAAGAGAATTGCGCAATGACAGAAAGAGAATCTTTTACAAAGTCAGTAATCCTACCTAAAAATTCGTCTCTTTCTGAAATTAATATAGGGGAAGGTACTTTTTTTTTCATGCAACAACTGTTCAAATGAGTTGATAAGTTTTACATTTGTTCTTTTATCAAATTAACATTTGTCACACTCTCTCCCAAAGTACACACTTCGTCCTTCAAGGTACCCTTCTCAGCAATTCACGATCTAATCACTGTTCATTTTTTTATTAAACCATCCACAAAAGAAAAGCTTTATAAGAAAGAGCGAATAAATAAAAATACTCAGCAATCATTATCGCCAAATGAATATTTCTCAAAAGGCTGATATTTTACTGAACGTTTAAAAACATTTTATAGATTTGTATGTTATTAATTCCTATTCAGTAAGCAATGAATATGGGGAAGTTTTTTGTTTACTATCTCAACTGATCAAAGATTATCAATAAAAATTTGATGAAAAGAAGAAAAGAACGGGAAATATGTACATCATTATTGAATCCATTATGGTCTAAATCAGTTCGTTCAATCAGTTAATTCATTTTACATAAGTCATACAGTATCATTACCTTTAACAGTATTATTTTTAATTGCACAATTCTTAAGCAAACCAAAAAATTAAAAATAACTTTAATAATCAACAAAGCTTTAGTATATCGTTATACGAAACATTTGGAAGAAAATTAAGAAACACTTCACCAGAAATAACAACAATCAAGAAAGAATTGAAATCAGTTATTAAATATTTATTATATTCATAATTTTATTGAAAAATTACTGAGAAAGAATTGATAATGAACACGTTGATTAAATTGGAACATGAAGAATTAATTTTGAAGCTTTGGCAAGATAGAAGAGCTTTATCAATAACAAAGCTTTAAATAGTCTTTGCTAAGCAGTTCAAAAAATTTGCTTATAATATCACACTAAATAATTTATGTAATTCTATCAGTTCATTCCGATATGTTCAAAAAACTGAATTTTATTTTTTCAGCTAATATTGAAACCACATTCACTTGTCAGTTTTATTATTTACTGAACATTGTATCAGTTTATCATAGCGAATCTTTGGGTTGTCTTGCAGAGTTTATAAAATAACAAATGATCTTAAGTCAAATTTTGTTTTGCCTCTTCAACTCTTCTCTTCTCAGAATATATAATACTATGAAAACTCAATATGAAAACACCAATACATAACAAAAATTTTTATTTTTGCATTTATTTATAGAAATTAAAAGTCCTTTTTTTGACTTCACAAAACTGTGAAAGTCTCTGATATTCCTTATCAGTGGAACACTGTGATCATCTGACAATATTCAACCTCATATATAATCTTTGTATTAACTATCTTCGAGCATGTTTCTAACAGAAGCGAAAAAAAAAGTAGTATAAAATATAAAAATACACACTTGTGATATCAATAAAAGTGAAACAATTTCAAGGAAAACCACATTTTGCGTCAACTGGGTGAATAATTAAGACCAAGTGAGTAAAGGAGTTGGAGAAGAAAGTGAAGTGAATAGATTAGTATAAGCATTAGAATATGATACAAAGAAAAGGAAAAAGAATTTTTGTGGGAGAAATTATTTCTGATTATTTGTACCAATTAATCATATTTGAAAACAGTGAAGGAGAATTTATGCAGCATTTAACGGTGAATAGAAAGGCAATAAAAAAAAAAAGAAAAATGAATGAAATGGTTTTGAATTGCCGGATACGTCAGTTTTGAAGTAATGTTAATTTCAAAATTGTTTGTCGAACTTTGTGAAATGATTTAATCCATTGTGCATTTTACAGGAAAACAATGAAATTGATCACATTTAATTTTCTTGATCATTTCACTTTATGTCATTTTTTCATGTAAATCACCATTAATTCTCTCAGATGTACACTTTACTTTTTTCTCATATTGATTACAATTCTACAGTGGGTTAAGAAGCAATTTGTACAGTACTATATTGGAACATCGAAAAAATGATACATCTTAAAGTGATCCAAGTGCTATTTATTTACATGCACAGATATTCATGTGACATTTCCACACATGAAAAATTTCTTATCTAGATTTTGTCTTACGTCTTATGAAATAATACAATAATATCGCAATATAAAGCATAAAAATATGAATGATAACAAAAACAGAAATTCTGAAATATTTGAACGAAGGAATTGATGAGTGTTTAAATAAGATTTGGAAAGATTAAAGAATTTTAGAACCAGTTCTTTTGTCTTTCATTGTCCTTTCACATTGCTTAAAATCTCTTCCTCTCCTCTCAATACAACATTTTATAAGCAAGCGAAGTTGTCATCGTAAGTTTTGGGAAGTGCTGGAATTGTTTCGAGAAAAAAGAACCCAAAAGGTAATAAATAGAAAAAAAAAAGTTGATGCGATATCTGGTGGTTTGGGATATTGCGAATAATTTTGTTTATCAGAACGAATGTATTGAAATGATAAGAGAATTATATGTAAGCTAAAAGCCAATGCAATTTCATAACAAATTTTCACACTACATTATAATGCCTTCTAGTGCATAAAAATGTATTCTCAATACGAGTTAAAAAGTATGATATCGAAAAGAGCTTTTGGTATTCATAAGATTGAATGACGCACTGATAACATCTGTTAAGAAGACGGTTTCATAGAAGACTTCATTTTTATGTTTTGATGGCAAGAAGTAATCTGGATAATTTATGAACTTAATGGATTCTATTGACCACTCAAAAGGAGAAGGATAATATTCATTGAACGGTAGTGAAACATGCAAATTGCAAACAAAAAATCTCCAGCAATTGAGGATAAGAATTTTAAATTGCAAATTTCCTTTTTTTTTATCATATTTTACAAGTTAATAAAACGATACTTCAAAACCAACTGTGCATGTGTATGCCTTTTTCTTCTCCCTTCGATCTACACACTTCATCGAAACTCTGACATTGAGATGGACTTGATTTCCTTGGTAACCAGATATACTTTTTACTTTCTTTTTAAGTTGTTTTCTTCGTTTTTCAACAACTTCAGTCGTTAAGAGCATACCTGCATTAGCTGGCATTTGAATGTTTTTATCAGATTTGTTCCAGCCTATGCAAATATATATATAAAATCATCATATGAGCGATATAAGTTATGATTAAAATGACCGCCATCCTAATGCTTTCTTTTACTGCTGATTATAACTATTCAGTTAACAATTTTTTAAAAGCTTCACTATGAAAAAATGTCAATAGCATGGCAATCACCAGATGATAATGACTATGACGAACAATTAGCAATTGCAAGATGAAATTCATGAATTTACAAAACTCACAAAAAATCGAATTCAACAATTAAACCATATACGATTTGTCGTTTTAATTGTGATGAGAAGGAAAAAAAGATTGCTGAGATAAATAAGGTCAATTGGAAATCAGAGAAAGTTCGTTCATTTTTTTGTCAGTTATTCTTTCACTCAAGGCTATATCCACCGAAGATTCTTTCCTAATGTGTATAAAGAGGAATTCCGGCATTTTAGCTATATCATATATAGACTAGCTCTACATCTTGAACTGGATAAAAGGAAAACACCGATTCAAAGTTACACCAGCTTAACTCCACTATGAATTATCATCATTATCCGTTGCCAATACCATTTCCATGTTAGCATCTGATTTGCAACTATAACCAAGTTCGTTTCTCCATCTTATAACACCTCCCTTCACCTACCTTATTATTCTTTTCTACTATCTTTCTTTGAAAACTTTCGTTAACGTGAACTCCAACAGCCTTAAAGTGACTCATTAATATGACAACAAAAACACCTTAACTCGAATCATTATCACTGTTTTTCACCACCTAAAATATGTTTTTCGCTGCTTTACTTTCAACATTCATCCGTCTGTGTAATAGTCAATCATATATCTTTTTATACCAGTTAACAATATCATATAAGATTTCGGCAACTGATGACATCCTCATATCATACTGGAAATTAAATTCATGAATGATAAAAGCTTCCTTGTCCATCACTAAGACGTCGCACAGTTTAACAAGCGGCGAACATAAGATGATGAGTAAGAAATACGTTCTAGAAGGTTAGCTAACAAACAATTTTATAAGACAAAGATTTATATATTTGTAATATTAGCTAAATCAGTATATAAACAGCACATAAACATGATGCACTGGAAAGAAACAAATGTAAATACACCCGTTCATGGGATCACTGGAACATCTCCAAATAATTAGTGCATGCTATATATAACCATGATACATATTTCCTTGATCTGGAAAACGCGGACCACGTGGAAATACTCTAGGAATACCGCTTGGTCTAACCGGACGGCTCGGAAACATTTCTCGACCATATAAGGGATCAAGAGGATTTCCCGGACCAGGAAATGGGAAGGGATTTGGAGTTCGAATGGATGGGTTACGAGACAGAGGGTGAAATGGGCCTTCAGGAATATCAGGATCAGGGTTTCCTGGACTGTATATTGGATTTGAAAAAGGTGAAGGAACAGGAACATTACAATGGGAATCAGGGTCTAGCAGATTTCGCAAAAAATTAAGCTCTCGGACATGTCGGATGTACAGCCTTTTGTATGCTTCGCGATATGACTCTTTTTTTAATACACCAGCATCTTAAATAAAATTCGTATTTGAAAAGAAAGTGTAGGATTTTACTTCAACTTAAGTGATTTGATTTTTTAATCAAACTGAGTGAAGAAATATCATTTCAAAAGCACAATAATTACCTTTTCCAAAATCCCTTTCGCAGAAAAGTTTCCAAATTCTTTCCATTCCTTGACCTCTGCACACTTTGAGAACATATTTGTTTGTTCTCT